GTAGCTGAAAGATTTAGAAATCTAAGGGGAGTGAAACCAAATTTGCCCACGAATGGAGGAGATGCACCAGTTGGTTAACCGAGACTTAATTCTTGTTTTGTCCTTTTCAGCCTACTCTACCGGGGGTTCCACATCCGGTCATCATTGTACTCCCCTCGGTCCAAGCAGGTGTATGTAAGAAAGCACACTCTTTGGTTATTCAGAATAATCGAGCGCCTCGTTTCTGAACAACTCTGAAATGCGTTCTCAACAATATATCGGGAGTCTGTTTGCGACAAACGATAAGAGTACGGTTTATCGATAACCTTATCCTGAAACCGGAAGTGACAGACGGTGTTTCGCTCTAATCCATACTTCAACTGATATTCTCTTACTTAACGCAATCGCAAATCTAAATCTCAGCGATAGCAACTGAACCGCACTTTAGTTCACTCGGTGTGCTTATAGGACAAACTCTTTCTGTTCACAATTAACAACTGGCCGCTTGACTGATTAACTGACTGACTGACTGACTGAGTGATGACCGATTGGCTCACAAAGTGAACCAGTTGCATACCTTTTATTTTGTTTTCCCAGTGACTGTTCGTTTGTCAGTGCACCCCGTTTTCCCATTGTGGTAGATAATCCGACACACACGGACAAACGCAAGTACGGAAATGCAACAGCTGAGTGAGTGGCCATCTCTCACTGACTCTCTGTCTCTCGCTCTCCTACACCCACACCCAGTCACATAAGCCTCGGGACACATACTCACTTTGTCCATAGCCGTAGTTTGGTCTGACGTCTCGACCCGGGAAACTCATTCACGCGCATACAAACGTACATAACGGCCGCTGAATGTCGTTTCAAACGTTACTGTGGCAACTGTGCCGCGTCTGGGTTGGATACGGTTCATCGTCCGACCGATGCCGCAACGCACCGTGTACGTGTACGGGCATTCGTTCATAATACACAAGCTTACGCCCTTCATCAACCGGTGTTGTACGCGCTTTCTCTTTCCGTCTCTCCACGGTCCGCTCATTTCTTCATTCGTCTTTTCAATCCGCGAGCCAGAGATAAACAACGAACCATTCACTCGCTGGTTCGTTCGCTCGTTTGTTCATCCGACTGTTTTTATCCGTTAAGCACTCATTCACTCACTTGTCCACTTCACGTGGTGCACTCCACAGCTTTATTCTTTGTCCGGTTAGCTCGCGGATGCTGACGAGTGAGTGCCGCTCACTGACAAACCGACGACAGTCGGTGCGCGTGTATATGCTTATGTGCGTGCGCGTGTGTTTGGAAATGCAACATTTGACCGATGTGGATCAGCGCCGGTTGGGCTCACAAACTTGCCATCTGCCTTTTGGTTTTACTACTATCTTTGACATACATACACACACCGGCCCACGCGGGCACACTTGCTTGTTTGCATCATCATCATCATCCTCGTCATCTGCT